CCTACCTCAGCCTCTCAAAGTGCTGAGATTACAGGTATGAGCCACTGCATCCAGTTGTTTATTGTTAAAGGTAGAGAAAGAGATTGAGAGAGAGAGATAGAGACAGAAAGAGAGAGAGGAGAGAAAGAAAGTAAGTTAATTTCATAGTATGGTGGTTCCAAACATTGATGTGTATCAGAATCACCTAGTTGTGGCTAATAAAGAAAACAGAGGCCCAGGCTCACTGAAGTAGGATAGGACCTGGGCTTGCCTGTCCGCATTCTCCAAGTCTCCAAACCGCAGTCATAGTATAAAACAACAGAGGGAAACACATTAGAACTGCATTGGGGCCCATTTCACTGGTCCTCCACTGCATCAGCTGTACCTTTTTAATCAGTCAATAAGTAGTATATCTACCATGTGAAAAATATTGTCTCAAGAATAATGAAAACTGGGATTTCTGTGCTCCTTGAAACTTCTACAGCTAGAGAAAAAAAAAATGATGCTGTTGGCCAGACATAATGGCTCACGCCTGTAATCCCAGCACTTTGGGAGGCTGAGGAAGGTGGATCACAAGGTCAAGAGATTGAGACCATCCTGACCAACATGGTGAAACCCCATCTCTACTAAAAATACAAAAATTAGCCAGGCGTGGTGGCATATGCCTGTAGTCCCAGCTACTTAGGAGGCTGAGGCAGGAGAATTGCTGCTTGAAGCCATGAGTCAGAGGTTACAGTAAGCCGAGATCACGCCACTGCACTCATCTGGTGACAGAACGAGACTCCATCTCAAAAACAAACAAAAAAAATGATGCTGTTGAATGAAAAAAAATTGAATTGTTCAGTAAAATACCATCTGCTTTATGCCATAAATATATCTCATTTGGCTGGACATGGTGGCTCACACCTGTAATCCCAGCACTTTGGGAGACCAAGGTGGGTGGATCACCTGGGGTCAGGAGTTCAAGACCAGCTTGGCCAATATAGTGAAACCCCATCTCAACTAAAAATACAAAAATTAGCTGAGTGTGGTGGAAGATGCCTGTAATTCCAGCTACTCAGGAGGCTGAGGCAAGAGAATCGCTTGAACCCAGGAGGCAGAGATGGTAGTGAGC